AAAAATATCCCGCTAAATCAGTCAAATCCTAAACACCTACTACTCACGATCTCTACCAAGGACCCAGGACCCACGACCCACGACATTTAGCTACACTCTAGTCAAGCTGCTCAAAATGAAACCTTAAAAGGTTTCATTCGTAGATTCGGCATATTGTTTTGAATGCGAACCATCTTGGATTTCGCGAGGGATTGCTGCAAATGGATGCTGCGAGCAGGAAGCTTTGACAAACGGCTCAAAATTTTCAACTGCAACAGAGCTTATCATAACCATCATCTCATCTTCAAACAACCTCTCAAAAAAGTAACGCTGACGAGTTCTGGGTATGAATACCGTCAACCGCTTTCGCGCGCCTTTTTTGCCGTCTTTGGTGACCAGTCTTTTTCGTTTCGAACAAGGCGCGGCTACTATCAGTCTATTATATCGTGCATTCTCTCTTGAGCAGGCTGAGAAAGCCTTTTAGATATTCACAAATTTCATCTAAATTCAAGCAGGCTAACAGTTACACTGTTATGACCTGATATTTCGGCAGCCTGCACGTAAAATGACGGTTGCGCGCGCAAATTTGTCACCATTTGAAATTTAACTGTGTCACGCGCGCTTGTATATTTCTAACTGTATTCCCACTAAAAACACACACACAGAAAGGATCAACTGGTTTATTTCTGATTATTGTTTCGGTTGTGACGCTTGGAAGAACTCTATTTTGCCAGCACAGTTATTATTTTTGAGGATGTACCTTTTAAACTTCAAAGCCAGCACGACGCTCATGTCAAGTAAGGTAACTAGAACTGATTTTTTTTGGTTGTCTGGGTGTTTAAATTTTTCTCTATAACACTTTATATGGCGGCCTTCAAACTCCTGCACAAGACTTTTTAAAGCGGTCTTTAAACTCTTACATGAGGCTTTTTAAGGCGCTCTCCAATCTCTAAAATAATGATAATGGTGAGCTCATTTACCAGCTTTTTATTTTCTCCACAGATGTAGAAATGAGTCAATTCTGGGAATCGTTGCCTTTAAATTAATAGAACTGAAGGTAAGTCTGTGTCACTGACTGACAAAATATAACTTCTCATTGGCAGGGTGTCCCAACCCTTGTGTTTCGATTTTTCAGAGCTTTCTTTTATCTATTTCTAAATAAATATTGATAAACGAGTTTACGTAAGAAATAGTCATAATAAGTACTTAGTAAATGACGAGGGCCTTAAAAAGTTTATAATTTTTTTATTTGTTTTGTTTTGGATTTATATTTTACCTTCATGATCATGGCGCACACCATCCAAGATTGTAACAACATTTAATTTTTCACAAGAGAAGGTATAAGCTGGAAATGTCTGGAGAAAATCGAATGTGTTGATGGTGAACGGAGCATACCAGAACTAAGCCTGGATTTGCGACAATTGTGATATGCAAAACATTATAGGCAAAGATTGTGGCCGTAAAGCGGCTGCCACTCCAGAAAATTAAGGCATGGGTCTTCTGTTCAATTCCTCAAAAGCGGGGGCGGGGTAGTCTAAATTCCTAAGCTTTTTACATAGCACAAAATAACTTATGAACACACTTCCTGGGTATAAGTTTAACAACTTTGAATAATGATTGGAGTCACTAATTGTCACGTGACCTATTAAGGCTTTTTTTAGCACAAAAATCTATTTGGCAATATGGTACCACTTTTAATTACTTTCTGGAAGTTGCAGTTATCGTCATAGTTAAGAGACTAGTGGGTACATCATTTCTGTGTCTGGGCCTTTTAAGTTAATCTTTTAGAATCGTTTGATAAGGAGACTGGGTACAAAATTCAGTTTATTTACACTTTTAATAAATTGTTCAACAAAGCTCGGGCACAGATGTCTAGTTGTTCATCTAGGGACATGTTTGGTTGTAATTTCTTTGATTGGCTAATTTAAGTTTTTTCGCGCAAAATGGCCGTTAAAGGTCACGTGACCTAATTTACATATTATTACACATTATTACTCAAGTTTTGTCGCTATGGGCCTTAATCTTCAAAATATAGACCACCCGTTAACTTTTTGAGAGAAATTGAAAAAACACCCATGCCTTAATTTCCTTGAGGAGCGCTAATTTTTCACAATGTTAATTCAAGTTTGTCACGCACCCATGTTTATTACCAATTGTACTAAGAAATTATCGAGAAATACAATTGTACAAAACATAAAAATCATGAACTTGTTTCTTATAAATGTTACATTGGTTCTTAAAGTCCGATAGAACATTTTCCTGGTTCTTTGACACAGCAAAAAACAAATTTAAAGCGCGCGCATTTTAGGAATAAGCCATATAAGGCTAGTCCTTTATAACGTCAAATAATTTGCAATTGTGAATTTAATTAGAGTAGTAATTCGACTGAGTTTTTTGAACGACTAAGTTGTGTTTACTTCGGAGCTGTGATTTTTTGATTTTTCGTGGAGATATTCGTTAAAGCACGAACATGGCTGCTATCCGCGGGGAAGGTACTTAACTTCTTTTAAGTTACTGATTTTCTAGGCTTTATAATTTTTGGTAATACCAGTAAAAGTCTTAAGTTCTATCAGCGACCGCGGAGCCATCCATAGGGCCGGATGGGCATACTAATGGATCTGAGGGCATATTCCCCAAGAAAAACCTGAAATTTATGTCTCCTGCATATCAAACTTTTCCTATCATTCAGGTTGCATTTTTGGAAGACAATAGTGCTTTTGTTTCTCACATTCTTTTGTGTTTCGATTAGCGGGGTTCCACCTTTAATCGGGTATGATCGGTAAATTTTCGGAGTGACATTTTTTACTTAGTAGTCGTCTTGTGGGGCAAAAATTTTATTAAGCGGGGCACAAAAACGATAAAACGGCCACGGCATTTTGACCCCATGTAATATAATAATGTAAAATAAGGCTAGTCAGTCACACCTTTATAGCGTCGAAGAATTTATGAACTTAGAGTAGTAATTTGACTGATTTTTTTGAACGTCTAAGTCGTGTTTACATTTGGAGCTGTGATTTTTTTTATTTTTCGTGGAGATCTTCGTTAAGGCACGTACATGCTGAGAGTAGTCATTTACGTGTCTTAAATTAAAATACCAGGCAACACAGCAGCCGATCGTTACAATACGCCATCTCCCACATCTCCCACAATACACCACGTGACAAGAGGGCGTGGTCGATCACGTAACGAAGTAGTTTGGTTTTCTTTTTCCGTGATTTTTTTTTCTGGAAAGATGAGTTGGAGTTGCCGAGTGGTCATTAGAACTCACAATTTAACGGTCCCGGGTTCGAGTTTCGCTCCGGCCATTTGCTGGATTTGTTTTCGTTTGTCCGGCGTTTAAATCCTCTCAGCCTCTCTTTGTAAAGCGCCTACTGGTTAGCTCCCGCCTGTCAAAGTTTTCAATCCTTTTGCTCTATTTAGTTTGTCTGTTTTTTAATTATTAATTATTTGAGTATATTGCCTTTAAAATAGCTGGATGAGCGAAGAACTCTTTCCACTATACTCCAAAGCGGGGTACTTTACTGCTTTGTTTTTGCATTTTAATTCACTTGAAGAAAGCAAGCCAAGCTGGGAACCACCCAAACCAGGAGGAAATTTATAATTCACTAAATCCTGGTATAGGTGGTTTCCAGCCTGGCTTAGAATCAAGTTAGTTCTTGGGGAAGTTTTTGATCCAAAATTTGGAGTGGGATTGAAAAGCTTGGGAGCCAATTGGTACCAAAGCGGACCAAGGGACAGACCACCTAGTTTCTTGCAGCGACGTTAATACTAAAAATGCCTGACTTGAAACCCTTCAACCCTCGTTAATACGAGATCTACATCAGCAGTGGTTAGCAGTACGCAGTCTAAATTTCATGTTAGATAACAACTAAAAACGATTAACGAGCCTAGTTATTACTATACATACCGCAATGAATAATGGCTTTTAATACAAAGTTATTTATGCGTACGGCGTCTCACTAATTCAAGATAGATACGCAGGATAATCAGACGCAAGTAAAGACTAAAATTGTTGAAAATAGCATTACATGCATAAGGCCTTTCTTTTACTTGAACACTTTCAACCCCGCCCTCCCAGGGTTCTCAGGGAAGGAGGACAAATGGGACAAACAAAGAGATTTTACTTTTGTTTTACTTAGTGAAGGAAAATGCAAAACAAGGCCAGCCCTGAGTTCTTTGAAACCCGGATACCTTAAACCCGCTCTCAGTGTAAAGATTTGTTATTAGAATCTACATTTGCGCAAAAAAAAAAAAGGAAAAAGAAAAGCCTTGCGAAAACAAATGTAACTCAATCGATGACCAAGTTTTCTTTAATTGTGCACTTGCTCCCACTGTTGCAGTTTTTAATTAGTGTCCTCTAACTTTTATTACCCCTTCAAGCCTTACTACTCATGTATGTTTCTATTTAATGCTGTTTTGTTTCTCTATTTGCGGTACAGCTAAGCTCGCCTGGGGGAAAAAAGGCAAGCTCGCAGCCACCTATATGTGTGTCGCTAAAAACACTCGGTTGCGCGCGCAAATTTGTCAACATTCATTTAAAATTTAACTGTGACATACGCGCGCATCTTTACTCCTAACTGTGTTCACCAAACTGTTCTGAAATACAGTTAAAATAGCCTGAAGTAATCCTTTCCATTTGTTAAATTGGTTGTAAATCTCGGTGACATTCATAAACGTTTGCTTTAACAATGAAAAGAAGACGAGAGAGCGAGCGCGCATTTTTGGAGTATGCCATACATGTTAATTCGAAGCCTTTATGACGTCGAGTAATTCGTGAGTGTAGTAACTCGACTGAGCCTTTTTGTACGACTGAGTTGTATTTATATTTGGAGTCGTAATTTGCGATTTTTGAGGATATAAGTTTCACCTAAAACGGGAACAATGGCTTCTATAAGTGAAGGTATAAGTAGCTATATAATTATACAATTTTGGTCGATAAACTCTTTCATAATCTTTTCTTGTAAGTCTTGCTAGCAATAATGATTTTTTTTCATTTACTAACATTTGTTTTTCTTTCCACAGCTTTTCATGTTCAACCTGGAGAGGTTAATCCATACTGGGAGCCACCTCCTTTACCAAAAGGTACTTTTTTTGTTGGCTAAAAAAATATATTTCTCTCAGCGAATTCCAAGTTTTTGTGCGAATTTGCTGGTCTAAAACGTTAGCTATCCTTAGGGGGAGGGGAACAATAAACATTTATTACAAGAAAATTATGAATAGAGGAAATAAATAGTAAGAGCCTTAAATATGGTAACATATTTGGTGGTTGCTCTTTCGTCTTTTAAAATTGTTTTCACTCCTTGGATTTGAGGAGAAGTCTATCGCGTCCTCGAGGTTGCGCGCGCAACGTTTTAATGAAATTCTTTTTCATTTGCCTTCTTGTCGTAATACCATTTTTCAAAGGAAAACATTTCCAAAGATAAAGAACAGTTTCGCCAAAAAAGTCTGAAAAAATTGAATTTTCATGGCACTCTTTGTTCCTAAAATGTTGAACTGATTTTATTCTGCCAGTATATTTAAGTGTAAATTTTTCCCCACATCTTTGACATGTAGGTGATCAGGACGGTTGACGGTAAAGACTTAGGCTCCAGTCATTATAACTTATTAACTATGTTAATTTTTTTGCCACAGCTCTTCAGAAAAAGATTGATGAAAAGAATTTCGCTAAGAAGCCGGATCATAAAGAAGGTAGTTTGAAGCAAGTTTTTATTTTCGTCGTTTTTTCCTATGGATTCTCCATCTAGCGATTAATCTTTATTTGTATATCATCAATTAATCTGATTGCGCTTTTCCCCACAAAGCTGTTCAGAGAGTGAGGCTTGGCAAAATCTAAAATTACAAAGTTCTTTTTCAAAGTATTTTCTTTTTTGTGGGGAGGGGAGGGTTAATTGTTGTTGCTCTCGACTTAAATTTGCCGCCTTAAATAATTCAGAGAATCCTAACGATCGAACAAGTCAACCATAAAATGTATCTCCTACTAATCATGCCGGCTTGTTTCTCGATTTCTTCCGTAGATTCTGAGCTTAACATTTATGCACAAATAACTCGACAACGGACCGACCTTATTAGACCAAAAGGTACTTACTGTCGACTACCTTGTAATCCTTTGATGCGCATAGATTTTTTTAATATATATTTTCTTCGAGTTTTGTTTAAGTAGCACTACCTTATTGGTCTTAAAATTTCAGCATTTGACCATAAAATATACTAAACCTCTAGCTGAAGCTTATATTAGAGTAACCAAACACATTACAAATGAATCGGTAACCGTAACGTTATCAGTCCATACCAATCACATTATTAACAAGTATGACCTGTGATCGCCAGGCCGTTTTATCTGCAACTTTTCGATTGTTTTTTATCACTTACAATTTTACCGAAAATATTTTCCAATGATCCTTTAGATCTAGTATAGTATTTGATCACCACTGCATGTTCTCACTCTCGAGTTTTGTTCAGGTAGTTATAGTTTTTATTGGTCTTAAAATTTCAGCATTTGACCATAAAATATACTATAAACTCTAGCTGAAGCTTATGAGAGTAACCAAACACATCGCAAATGAATAGGTAACCGTAACGTTATCAGTCCATACCAATATATCACATTATTAACAAGCATGAGTTGTGATCGCCAAGATGTTTTATCTGCAACTTTTCGATTGTTTTTTATCAGTTACAATTTTACCTAAAATATTTCCAATGATCCTTTAAATCTAGTATAGTATTTGATCACCACTGCATGTTCTCACTCTTGGTTAATTGATATTTGTATAACGGCATATATATTTTTTTCTACAGCTATAAGGCTTAAGCCCGGCGACAAAAATCCGTTGCTATGGGAAACGAACGGCGTTAAACCGCCAGGTAACGTGTCCTGAGTTTCTTCTGCAGCTGTTTTTTACTTTTCCTCCTTCAATTGTTTTCTTTGTAAAAAAATATTTCTCATTGGAAAAAATTATTCACCTTAAGGCGTTTTGGTTTTATCTTTAGTTGATCACATTGAAAATGGTGGAAGAGATCCCTACTGGAACCCGCAAGGAGAAATCCCATTGCGTTACTATGGCGTTCAGGTAATTGATTATTTGTAAGGCGAAAACCCGCCGGTCCGTTAACAATGAACTCTGTTCCCAGGGTTCTCTCCTCTCCCTTAACACAGTGGGACCGAGCTTGGTTCGTAGAAAGTAAGTTGGGATAGCCTTTTAAATCTTGTTCCTTGCTCTGAACTGAGGAAAGCCATTTCTTGGATCTTGAATCTTTTGTTATTCTCTCAGCTAGTAGATAGAGTCAAAGTGGTCTTTTTGTAAGCAAAATCAAGGAAATCCGGCATACTGAAATTTGACTGCAAACTTAGTTCAAAGGCAAAAGACCTTTCACTCCCTGCAAAATTATCAAACTTATTATTTTAAGAAGACATAAACTGAGACTATTAAATGGCTGACAGTAGGGTATTATAAAAGTTAAAATATTTTTCTTTCCAGCCCGTTCCCGTTCAGTACCAACAGTTCCCGTATAATCCTGCAGTTCAGCAAGGTTGGGCTGGCGGAATTCAACTGCAGCCAGGTCATGCCCCGTTTATGTAAGTTTTTACTTTTTACGCACCTATCCACAAGCCTTTTATGCAAATATGACTTCCACGTTCTGCTGTTGTCAGGTAAACATTCATAGTAAATCTATGGGATTGGCTCAGACAGAAACAAATTGTTCACATAAATAATGCTATCACAGTTTTCATGTTAGCTCCATATTATTTTGTCACACAGTCAACCATACTGGACAACGACTGCACCACAACAACAATATGCAGCTCAACAGCAATTTGCCGCAATGCAAGCTCAGCAATATGCAACACAGCATCAGCAAGTTGCGACACATCAGCAGCACGTTGCGACACAACAGCAGCAAGTTGCGGCACAACAGCAGAACGATGCAACACAGCAGTGGAAAGTTGCCACAAAACATCAGGAAAGTGCCAAACAACAACAAGACGAGGAAAAGAAACAAGAAGAAAAGACCGGCACCACCAAGACTATTCAAAAACGTCTCGAGTAGGTTTTAGTTTGTAGTTGACAGATCGTGCTAGCCAATTTATTTGTGTTATCGTTGCACATATTCTACCTCAGTGAACGTGCCAAAGATAACCGGTACCGCATTTTTGTCATACAAACCTCTCAGTTCTTTTAATCATTTGTGCAATACTTGATAAGCACACGTTTGATTGTAGGCTCCATTTCTGGCTATTTAAGAGGGCTTCATTTGATATCCGGTCAAAGCAATTTCTACTTTAGCATGTGTGGGATGAAACCAAACGCGTGCCGAAAAACGGTACCAATCTCGTCACCAATGCTCTCGGATCTTACGGCTCCCTAGCCTGTACACAGACCCTCTATTTTCTCTTCAAAGTCCGTCGAGCGCGGGAGATAAAATATAAACCACAGGAGATTTATTGACCGCCAGCGCAAGGAGGTAGTCGTGTTTTTTTCTCGCGCTCCGCGCTCGTTCTCGCGCGCTCGCTCGCCGATGTTTTTGAGAAGAACGAAAAGAAAAAGAAAACGACGTCTGTGTACAGGCTAACGGCTGCCAGTGGGGTTAAGATTGTTCATGAGGCGGTAGATATAGGGTCCCCAATAGAGTGTTTTCACTCACGTGGCCAGCGTCTATGCAAATGTATTGAAACAAAAGAAAGCGTTTTCATTAGAAAGGAATTTAACTCCCACAGGACTCGTTTGGGACACCAACATGGCCCCCGTTTGATTGTTTTGGGACACCAATATGGTCGCCGTGACGTCAGCATTGTGAAAACACTCTATAGGTTTTTCGGGATCCGATAGTTCCCTTTTTTTGAAGCTCGGGATTCGAGATTTTGAAGCACAATCGGACAAGATTCGGGATTTTAAGTATGCACGTGAGTTAGAAAGCCCAAATGACCCGCGGGATTACGGGATTAAAAGACCTTACTGGGGACTTTCGTACATAAACAAGGCTAAAGTATTTGCTCTGTTTTTTACACAGAGAAATGAAACAAACTCTGGATAAAGAAAGAGAGGAATTGTCCCTGAAATTGAAACGACAATCAAGAAGAGTCAGTGATCTTGAAATCAAAGACAAACAACAACAAAATGAGGTAAGAGAGGAGTCCAGGGCATTTGTGATAAATAGAGAACCAACCATAGTCTTGTGACCGGCTCCCTGAGAAGAGTAGATGATACTGCTGTTTTATGTCAATTATGTGATAAACTAAGGGATTTTTAACCATATTCATATAAAGCTCCTGTGGAGTTATGAAGAAGATATCAAACAAATTAAACAAACAAAAAAACTTCTGTTTGCAGGTTGAACTATATTTTCTTCTTTTGCTGTAACTAATATAGACTTCAAAAAGAAGCCAAAATTAATGGGTAATCAGTTTCTCCTCAATGGGAAAACCTTGAGTAAGCAACAGGCAGAAAGCAGTGCTCGGAAATACTTGTTTGCCGTTTGTTATGACTTTTCATGTACAAGGATAATAATTAGTTCAGTAGTAACTAGATATATTTCGTATACAATTTACGCAGATCAAGGAACAGACAAAAGCAAGAGAGATTGCTGAGGACATGTAAGAACATTTTTAATGACGTACTACTATTTCGATTCAGTGGTCAGGGGCGGACCAAGGATACAGGAATTTTTAGTTGGGAAATGGGGGGGGTGGGGGGGGGGGGGGGGGGGGGGGAGTTTGGTTCAGAAAGGCCTGTTGAACGTTTTTGTGGCAAATTACTTCTCACAGAGACGACCACGTGTTTCTCAACCTGTGAACGCCGGTCGCCATTGGCGCGGCAAGTACTGCTTTGCGAGCAGAAGCGAACAGATCATAGGAGGGTAGACAAAAACGATTACATTTTTAAATCCCTGTGATTATGGCGCGTTCATAAACAAACAGTGATATACGATTCTGTCGATGAACAATAATGCAGCTGCAAACAAGCGTCAGGTCTGATGGGGGGGGGGGGGGGGATGTGGTTTGTGGTTCTGACCCCCCAGGCCATCAACCTGGATCCGCCACTGGTGGTAGAAAACATTTAATGTAAGATTATTTCCAAGAATCGTCCATGCTGACATCAGTGATATTTTTATTTTCGTTGTAAATTCAAGGTGGAAGAAAATTGAGGAGGAGAAGAATGCCTTGGATGCCATGAAGCAATCATTGGAGAAGGAAGGCGGCAAGATAAACCGGGTTCTCCTGGTACGAATTTTTTCTTATTCGTTAAAACGTTAACAAAATTTGTAGCCTCCCTCTCAGCCGTTTTTAGTGTCGTGACGCATGACGCCCCCCCACAAACGGCTACCAGTTACGAGGCATCGATTGATTATGAGGAAGTTTCAAGCTAATTTAAAGTTTATTCATTTCTTAGAAAACAGAACGTGACCTTTCGAAAGCACAGGAGAGGATCCTTAATTTGGAAGCTGATAATGAAGCACAAAGAAGAAAGCTCGAGAAATTCACAGATGAATTATCTCAGGAATTTTCCGCACTTCGCGCCACTTATAACGAGGTAAGTGGAATTTAATATATAAACTATGAAAAATTATTTATAGGAATTCTCCCTTTAAAAAAAGAGACGTTACCTATCCCCACTTCCCTATACTACATGGTATGCATAAATAAAAGCATGAGTTAAGATTTAACTTTAACCCGGGGACACCTCTCCAGAACACACGCCTAAAAGGCACCAAAAGTTTGTAAAGGACAGCTCTTGTATTTATTGGCTTACACTGTATACATGTATTTCTGATTTTGTGTCTTTTGTTTTCTCTCTGCGAACCAAAGTTGCAAGAAAGGCTGCGAGTTGAAGAACGGTAAGTGCTTTATCTCTTTTGCTTTTAGAAATTGTAACAACTGAACAAATCTGAACAAATTGAACAAATTTTCAGAATTACCTTCATTTTCTGTTGTGAAGCTGCAATGAAGGCTTTTATGAAACGACATAGAAAGAGGCCAATAAAAGTATTTAAAGAAAAAAAGGGAAAAAATAGCAAAATTGATTCCAGGAAAAACTAAAAATGTGTTGCATTCTACAGGGATCTAAAAATAAGTGACAAGGACCCGGTGAACATCTTTGATCTTGAGTAAATTACAACTCACATCCCATGTAGTTTATTGGCTTTTACAGTAGATAGATACCTACTAGCAGTCGGTACCTAAGCTTTAGCAAAGGCACCACAGTAAGTGATTATTTCTTTAAATTGTTTTATTTTAGCACCGCTTCACAGACCATACATGGACTGAAAGATGAGGTACTTTGTCTGTAGCTTGAAAAAACTGAATATTGCCTCTTTTTTAACAAAAAATTGACATGTTTTATAGGCCAAGCCAAAATCAACAGATACAGTTTTTCTTCTTTGAACTGGTTTCTGTATTTTTTGCAGAAGTTATTTTTGTAGTACTTGTCAACAAATTACTGTAGGGTACTCCACAATGAAAAGAACGAGTTTTGAAAGCATACATTAGCATACATTAGCATAGTCAAAGCAGAAGAATTTGGAACTGCGGTAGGATTAGCTCAGCCGGTAAAGCGCTTGTTTGCAGACCGAGATGTTGCCGGTACCCGACCAATACTCAGGGTCGTAAATTAGCTGAGAAATGAAGGCTGGAATTTCGCATGATTTGGACAACCACGGCGGCGGTTCCGTCTCAGTAGTAGACTTAAATAGTTGTCCCAGTTAGTAGTTTCGTGCTAAATACATTTACACTCATGTAACGCGCATTTTTATTGTTATTCTTTTCGTCTTTAGTATGAAATGCTAACGAAAGTTTTTCAAACTTGCAGGTCGCTTATTTTAAATCGTCTTACCAGAAAACCACCGAAGAGTAAGTAAGACATTACTAGGTAGAATAAATCCTCAAAGTTTCGTTTTCGGCATAACACGGGCAATTTGGCGCAAGAAACTTGCCTGCATGCGGAAAGTTTTTCGTTCTTAAAGATGAGTTCAAATTTCTCGACAATGCAAGTTTGTAATAACAAAGATCCGTTTATATAGTTTTGACGGTTGTTTTCGATACTACACTGACTCTTCTCAGAATTACAGACTAATGATATATTGCTTCGTCCGCGTTAAGCCTTGATTTATGTGGAGTCAGGAGTTCTTGGCATTGCTTTTAATCTCGTTGGTCGCGAAGCTGACCAAAAGCATCGAAGCTTTGAGAACGAAAATGCAACAATCATATAAACAATAAAGATATGATAATAGTATATCTAGCAGGCTTTACGAGGTTAATTCGAGGTTTATATATGTACATGGCACTCTATTTTACTGTCATTTGACGATCGCGTACTTATTGTACTTATGGTAACATTTTGTGACGATTCTTTTGTAACGGTTTTCATCCAAAATGAAGAAGACCCACTGTTGTACACGGTTGAAAAAAAGTCGTTCTGAAGAATTGTTATTATTTGTATAACATACGTGATGCACGTTCTGTCTTTCTAAATAGTATTTTATAATAAATAACAATACGTTTTTTGTATTTTATTTCAGTTTAGGCATTGCTAATCAAGAGCAACGTTCCTTGGCCCAGCGGTGTGAGTTGTGGAAGAAAAGCTCTCACGAAAAGGATTTGGTTTGTGAACGTGCAGAGAAAGACAAAGCTGTTCTGTCTGAGAAGATTCAGGTGAGAAGAATAATAACTACTTGATTTTTTAAGTGGAAAAGTATAGCTTTCATTTATGACTGTAAGTACATCCTTCTTAACTGGCTATGAAAGACTGGAAGCTAGTCAGATTGGTTTGCTCAACTCAGTCGGAAGGCCTGGCTTCTAAGGCCTCTAAAAATTTTGAAGAGTTGACCACACATAGATATACCATTTGAAATCTACGTTAACGAAGTTCTGGCAATCTTTGATGCGACAGCTTTTCTTTGAATTGTCAGAAATGAAGGATAAAAAGTACCCGAACAAAGTATGAACAGACTTAGTCAGATACCGTGACAATATTTGGTCAGAAGGACAAAGGTCAACAGAGAATGCTATTTTATTATTGTAAATGGATATTTGACCAATCAGAGCGCGCTTTACCTAATATTGAAATTAATTGATACTTATTATTAATTTTTCACACTTAAATAGTGAATTCCAAAAAAAAAAACAAAACAAAAAACAAAAAAACAACAACAATGTTGTACGTTTTCTGTTCTCTTTTTGATGGCATTGTGAATGTTTGTATGTTATTTGTGTTCTTTTTGTGGTTTTAATGAAAATATAGTGTACATGGCCGTCGAAATTTGTTTGGATACTTTGTGTTTTGTAGTATTTTTAAATTTATTTGTTACGTTTTTAATTGTATTCACTATTTAAGTATGAAAAATTAATAATTTAAGATGTGAAAATAATTGAAACTTACCTCTTCTTCGCATAGAGGGTACCAGTGATGTACAAACGAAGGATGACCTCTCCATGAAATAGAGAACATTTTTTAAAAAGTTTATTTTTGACACGAACCTCGATTGTGATCCTAACTTAATCCCTCCTCTTTTGTTTTATACTTTAGTCTGAGAAGGCAGCAAAGATTGAACTGCAAGAGTAAGTAACTCCCTTGTCATCCTTGGCCGCGATCAAATACGGTCTACAGCAACTTAAGAAATTTTTAAATTTAGACCTATAGTCTGAGCAAAGAGTGCATGTTTTAAAAGAAAGTTATTGCCTTTAGTCCAAGTTACTTCCAGGATGAAAACAGGCAACTTCTGGCTTTTTCTTAAACTTTTTGTGCAATTAGGTCCGTTTCACGATGAAAATTTCAAAAGTGGCAGAACAACCTACTTGTTATTAAGTCAAAAAATAAAAATGACTATTCTAGTATTTCTAGCACTCGATAAAAAGGCTGAACCTTACCAGTGTAGGCCTGTCGGAGTCGTAATTACAAGGGCAGAGGGTTATGATGTTTAGTGAAACCAGCGTTTCGATCAACTTACAACACTGTCGATCACAATACAGTTGAAGTCAGTTTGTCGGATTGGTAAGAAAAGGCGGAAGAGCTAAATCAATCACAATATATGGCAACAAAATTAATGGTAACCAATATTTTTTTATGTATTGATGACTGATCTATTCTGCCGCTAGCTGAAAAATGTTGACGTAAACGGACGGATAAGGTAGAAGTTTTGATTTTTATAAAGAAATTGGCTTATATTTTCGGGAACATAACAGTCCGAAATTCCGAAATAGTTACATGTATTTTATTCGTACTTAAAATTAAAAGCCTTCGCTACCCAGATCTTACAGGTCTGTAAGTTCGACCGTTAGGGATCTGGGTGCGAGATGTTTCAAGACGAGTCCAAGTCTAAGGGTAACATGTAGGTAGGCATATTATATATTTATTTTTTACTGTTTAACCTCTGTCGTTTTCAGAAATAACGAGACCCTCAGGGTAGAATTAGCTGCATTCAAGAAGCAAAATGTTGTGCTTATGCAAGAAGTTGAACTTCTCAAAGAACAGGTGAGTAAATAAAAAATTGGAATTTGTCTTTAATTGTTTTTTCGAAAGATTTTTTCCCGAGAATTTCCCCAGTTTAACATTATCTTATGATGTACGGGTTGAGTTGAGCAAGGCCAAAAAAAAAAAGGGTTTTACAGACATAGTACGATACATTTAAACATTATTGATTAAAGTTGTTCTCTCCTTTTCAGAATTACAATCTGCGATATTATGGTGGAGTAATTGGAAAATTCCGAAGGATGAAACGCTTCATCGTAAATACTTTTCGACGATTTTCATCATAACAAGCTATATTTTGGATAGGGTGTATGGGGGAGGGGGGAACTTACAAGCTATATTTTGGATAGGGTGTGGGGGGAGGGGGGAGTTACAAGCTATATTTTAGATAGGATGGGGGGGGAGGGGGAAGGGAAAAAAATATTTTTGTGACTGAAACCTTAGTTAAATCTGCTTTGAAAATTGGAGATGACTGATTTGTTTAAAAAACTTGCATTTAGCAGTAACTGGTTTAAAAACTGTGGAACAACTGCTATCGTAAACTTACAACCTATATTTTAGATATGGTGGGGTGGGTTTTTTTTGGGGGGGGGAGCAAGAGGGTAACGATATTCTTGTGACTGAAAACGTACCACAGATAAATCTGCAGAGACGAATGAAATTGATTGATCTGTGTAAAAAAACTGCTATTTACTGCTATTAGATCCTGTCTAACGATTTTCATCATAAGTTTACCAGCTATGTTTGGGACAGGGTGGGGGATGGCAAAAGAGAAAAGATATTCTTGTGACGGAAATCTTTCTTTTGATACATCTGCTGGGAAAAATGACAATAACTGATCTCTCTTATCTTTCTCAATAACTACTGAAGATAAGTTGTCTAAAAGGGACTAGGTCACGGTATTTTAGAGATCTGAAAATGCTCATATTCTTAAATTTCAAATCCATCAAAGAAACTCCTAACTGTTGTACCTTGATCTCACCCTGTCTTGGTCGCGCGAGAGCTGGGTTTGAGATTAAGAAACTCGCCTTTCTGGATAAAATCATCATCAGATACCACTTGAAATAAATAGACCACTCCTTCAGCGTTTAAGTCGCTATAACGATGATAGGTATTATCCGATGCACATTCGCAACAGCTTCTTTCGTTTTGATCACCAACTTTTAGCTTTACTGAATTTCTTTGTGTTGCATAATATTTTAGTACAATTATCGTAAATAATATGAAATATCGTAAAAACCGTACTTGCTTGAAGGTATAGTAAGGAGTTGGCGAGAATAATGACAGGGCCGTAGCTGTACTTTCAAAATGGAGATTGAGACAAAAGCTTTGTATTGGAGAAGCATTAAGGGGTATTCTTTTTCTTTCAATATTACTCAATCCACATCCGCTTTGGTTTTCTTACGTTTTGATCATTTCTATTTATCTATACTTTATCTGTATGCTGCATGTTCTACAATTTCATGATTTTATTTTAGTATTATATCCTTTAGGAATCCTAGCTTGGTACGTCAAATAATTTAAACTCAAACAGATGGTTTTAGAAAAGAACAACTAACAAATTAAACTGAAGAAAACAATTACAACGTACTAAAAAATGGCCATTAAACAACACAAAACAACAACAGCAAAAAAAAACAAAAAAACAAACAAAAAAAAACAAAAAAAAAAAAAACAAATATTAAAAAAAGACAACAAAAAAGAAACAAACAGAAAAAAAAACACACACAAAAACAAAAATATTAATAAAAAATAATAGAAAAAAATAGGTTTAACAAGCTGTGGTTTTGACTTGTTGTATTGGCCAATATCAGTTAGCGTGATATTATCAAGTTGTAAAAACTCGCTTGGAAGATAAAATGGACAAACACCCCAACCATCACTGAGTGTGTGCAGTGACTACATGCTTCCTAATGAATAATTTAGTTCTATTAGACAATACAAAACGTTTGTCTCAATCACCGTTCTGAGTCCAGCTACGACCCCTAACAGTAACTCCTTTACGAAGTACATTACGATTTTGTTTTCTTCCGTTTTAATCATACTTTTTTAGCTTTAATTACTGCATGTATTTCGCTGAAATAGTCAAAACTCTAGATTGACCTGTTCCTCAATTACTAAAGGCGCACGTAAATTTTCAACAAAAACAACTACAACGAACAATAAAAAATCAATAAAAAAGAGCTATATATTAAAAAAAAAAAAAAAAAAAAAAAAAAAACAAAACAAAAAACAAAAGCAAAAAGAAAATAAAGAAAAACCACGACATACATAAAAAATATAATAAAATGTGAACTGAAAACCAAAAAAAAAAAAACTTAAAAAAACAAAAGAAAAAATAAAAAAAAGGAATAAAATATCGTTGTAGAACAAAATCAAATACAGCAAACTTGTTTTTACTGTTTGTTTCGACTAAGGCCTTATCTCCACACATATCCGGATATTTTTCAAAGCGGAGATTTTTCCTCTCAGTTCTCCAAAAACAGTACGCGTCCACACTTAGAAATGCGATCAAAAAACTTACAGGGCATGAACTGTCCGATGACTGTTTGAGATCATCGACAAAAACGATAAGCCTGCGTTTTCAAAAATCTCCACTTTAGAGAGTGGTTTTGGAAATATGCGTTTTTTCGGTGACCGTGTACAGCAGATACGTGCATGTGGACGGTAGGCCAAACGGGAGAAAAGAATTCTCTGTTTTCGAAGAAAATCGGATATGTGAGACGAGGCTAATACTAGTTCGGACGATATTACCACGTTGTAAAAATTTGCCTATAGTATCGCAAGGAGTTGTGTTAGATTAAAAAGATGTTATGGAGTTTGAATTGGAGTTGTGTTTTCTACCTTTAAACAAACATTGCTTGGAGCGGGTGAGAGGATAAGAGCTTCATTTCCCTTTTGAAGTTTAAAGCAAAGTGTCTCAACTTGTCTCAACTGCTTTTGTCCCCGACTGAAACTCAAAAAAATGTCATCATTATCTGCGGCTGTTGTGCTTGGTTTGCAGTCAGATGATAAGGCAACCATGTTGGTGGTCAATACAATAAACAATGTTTTGAAGAATTTACATGAAAACGGCTTTTAGTTCCCAGAAGAGATATTAAACAATTCTGTTCGTGATCACCAACATAGCCGCTGTGACGTTACGTGTAAACCAGCAATGCAAGTCATTTGAATACGAGCAATGCCATATTCCTAGTTGTTTTCAGTGGCCAAAACTTAACAACTCCCAACATTGTCGGTAGAATAATGTTGGGATTCGTTGCGTCCGTTTGCACGTGGCTAAAAGTTTGACCACTTTCAAAGGTAACAAGAAGACCGGTCATTTCTTAAGCTGAGAAAACACCAAACCAATTTGTCTTAAGACAGGACTGTTACCGAGCCAAAAAAATTGGTTAAGGCAGGTAAAAAACTAACTCAGACCACCTCATCTATATATACAGGGTGTTTCAAAAGTTCGTTCCGATTTTTTCTTCGCTTAAATTTCACTGATTTTTTAAAATACCTTTTGTAAAACTTAGTATGTTATTCATTATTCATATAACATTGTATAACCGAAATATCGCTAACCAGAACGTCTTTCTTTGTGTTTTCTGACATGGTGAGGTATAGAATGTACGAGGTCTTAAAGTGTGTCTAAAGAAACACTTTTCCAAGCGAAGCATAGTCGCTGCCTTAGCTCGTCCAGTTATTTGGGGGCTGGTTCTTTGTATGTTTTCTCGTCAACGATAATCCAGATGGTCTCCAGAGGGTTCACATCACGTGAGTTTGCTAGCCGGTGGCGCTTTGCAATAAAGTTTCCAAATCCTTCTGACACCATGTCTGCTTGTGCTCCGCCTTTTTGACTTCAAGGCTTTCCAATCTTTGCTCGAAACTTTGATATTGGGAAGTTAAAGTTTTTTTACCTTTCTGTCTTGTAGATTTATTACGCATATACTTACAGCTTTTGAATAACATTTCTCACACATTTAAAAAAAGACGGCCATACAATCCTTGGTTTGTCTTCTAAAGTCTTTACTTTCTACCACTTGTTCACTTATATCATTCAGACTTTAGTCAACAGTTTAACAATTTCTTTGACTGAATGGTCAGAGAACCAAAAAAATAGATGCCTCAGCTTTAGCGCAAACAGTGTAGGCCTTCATTTTCGTGACAGAGTGGTGAAAATTAAAGAAAACGGAAAAAAGACGAAAATAGAAAACCTACAAAATGGCCAGGAAAAATATGGCGCGAAAAAAGTCGCGTACGTGCACATTTGGGGCAAACTTCAAAAATACTATCATTTCCTCAAATTTTAGTTTGAAATTGCTTTTAACGGTTACTTAGATAAATTTCTTACCTGAATCAGTTTACATTTGCCTAAAGAAGCATTAAATGCTTTGTGCAAAATGAAATTTACAATCGGAACGAACTTTTGAAACACCCTGTACTTACCAGACAATGGTTTCTCTTGTTATTCCGAGCGTAGCGACTTTATAATCTTGTCGCGCGCAAAACGCGCACGCAGTCTGCTAACCGCGTGGTCTTAGGCAGCTGCGAAATTCGAGGCTTTATAAATAAATCTTTCTTTCTCTAAATATATGCTTGGTGTCCGCCAATGACGTCATGGAGCATTTTGCGTTTCCAGGCAACATAGACTTCGCCGCCGATGACCAAGGTGCATTTTGATGTGTTTATTCATCGCCTGTGAATGAAAGTTTACCATGGGTGAATCACGAACAATTTCCCATGCAAATGACACACAAGCACAACAAGTGGCTCCAAGTCCTCGCCCAGGAAGATTTTCCACCTAAACTCCTCTGGAGCGAGAACGCCGACTTCAAATTCAGCGTGAACAACGACGGAGAAGACGTCAACAAGAAACTGCGGGGCAGAAGGAACATCGCTTAGCACAGCGAAGGCAACGCCGACAACAAGAGACAGAGGAACAGGAGATTGGAATCAGAGGCATTATCATCGTTCACTGTCGAAAACCCATCCCCGCCGATATATGTAGATCAAGGGCTGCAAAGTTTCAGCTCTGTATTACGGCCCGAAGAATAATAATTTTGAGGCGAACTGCACCGGGCCATATTTGTTCTTTGTTCTTGTATTTTTCTAAATACACTGTTAACAATAACACCACATAATACGCAAAAAAGAAGAAGAAGAAAAGAAAGAACAACGCATGGACCTTTAAGACGATATTCGCGGTTGGTCACCCATCCAGTTCTTAGTATCATATTAGTAGGATATTCTAGTATCTGTATATTAATGAGTGGAGCAGGCCCGAGTTTTGTTCCTGCCCAGT